CCCCCCCCCACCACCTCCCCACTGCAGCAGTCTAAGGTCTCCGAGTCATCACATTCTATACACTGTGTATAGGGCATTAGGATGATGAGGGACATACCATCAGAGGAGGAGACAGGAAGGAGGGAGCGCTGTCACAGCCAGCTGGTTCGAGGATTGGGCGCGTATAAATTTGCTATTTTCCTCCAAACCAAAACAGGCAGTTAACACCCTTGCAGTGCGGGGGTAGCACAAGTGGAAGGGTTAATAAATATTTGCCCAGAGGAAGCTAACAGTCCTCACGGTGTGTTTCAGTCCTTGGGGAGAACCAGGCTACACTGGCCTGCATACAGAATGTAATGGCAAGCCAGTAAGCACAAAGCTCTTTTTCTTGTGTGGCTGGATTTATCAGAGATTTACTTAAAGGAGAACTATGAGGTGAGTGCTTTTCCCTCACCTCATAGTTCTAGCCGACCTGTGACAATGAGACTGTCACAGGACGGCTCAGTAGATCGGGAAGTGAGCGAACACATACCGGCGTTCGCTCACTTCTCGATCCTGTCACGCCTCTCTGCCGTGACAGGGGAGGGACTAGATTTCCCCCCTCCGATCCTCCAGCGCTGACTGGCGGAACGGATGGGGGAGGGGGCGGGTACAGCTGGCTCTGCCTCTAGATAGGTAGAGCCATCTGTCACTCACGCAGCTAGGCGGATCCAGACATAATTGTTGGGATCCGCTTCAGCTGCGGCGTCTCAGTATACCGCGAGCTGTAGCTCGCAGTATACTGAGCTTAGGGTGATGGGAGGACGCTAGTTTGTGTCCTCCCGTTACCCTAAGGAGAATTATGGGGAAGAGCCCTGACCCCATAGTTCTCCTTTAAACTACATAGTACGTGGCAAATGTGATAGGATTTTGTTTTATGCTCCGTTTTCTTTGTAGACAGGGTTCCTATTTTAGTTTGATGCTGCAAATGTAATAAAGCAAGTTGTGCCCAGTGTAAAACCTGAACTGCCATGTGGACTCTCTCTTCCTGTGCAAAAAGCCTCCATTAAGTCTGTCAAACCCAACAGATGTTACAGTGGATTCAGACAAAATAAAAGACAAAGTTTTGCATTGCTTGGTTTTAGTTTGTAAGATCCAATACTGTGAAAAAGAAAACCTGGTACCCCTTTGGTATTTTAGTCAATCATAGGGATATTCCATAAGGGACTGCAAACCGGAATGATCAAGTGCAACAGTAAATCATAGTAGCCAATTGGAAGTTATCACAAAAGCTGACACAAACCTGATTAAGAAAATTAAAATCTGATCAAGTGCTAAAAATTGCTGCACTTTTATAATAGTACTGGTCTCTCAATAATTGAAAACGGAAGATTAATCTCCCTGGTCCCTCCCTTCACCCCTCATGAACATGCCAATTACATTTTTAAATAAAACGTTTGCTTCTTTATATACCTTATTTTGGACTGAGGGATATCATCACTTCATCTCTGTGCAGGAAGATCATTGCTGTTGGGAGGTGTTGCAAGGGTGATGCTTCCTGAAAACATCAAAGCACCCCACCTCAGTAGACCTCCCAAGAGCCCTCAGCATTCCTCCCAAGAACCTTTAGCCTCGATTCAAGCAGTTGACTGGGATCTTGAGAGAAGGTATGCAAATATCAAAATGTCCTGATGGGTCGGTCAGTCTGGAGGAGTTGGAGTTCTTAGGCAGGCTGTATTTGCATGCAGACCACCCTAGCTAACGCCCACTTGTGATGCTGAGCCTCCATGAGGGAAAGAACTGAAATCCATTGAATGAAAGGGGTGGACCAGGGACAGTCAGACTGGGGAGGAAAGGGCTACATGATGGTCCTTCAGCCATTAAATAAGGTGAGGTCTTTCTGACTTGCTGCAGCTTTTAATGCACACTGTGAGTGAGCAATAAGTAAGCAATTTTAGTATGGCAGAAGAGCCTGTACAACTGTGCAAAATGAAAGTAAAGCTTAAGTTCAGCTTTAATAAACATGCCAGTAGATGTACGCAGGACACTGGCAACTGGAGATCTGTTATACACTAGCCAATTCAAACAGTTTGTTGGTGCACCAGAGACACTGGAGATTGGAAAGCTGTTATATACTAAACACCTGACATTAATATATTACTCAGAATGAACAATCTCTTTTGTCTTCTGTATATCCTAGCTCACAGACAGGAGTTAACTCTGTATACCTAGAATATTTTCTATCCTACACAACTGTCACTGTAATAGGCTTTGCCTTCTACACTACCTAATCAGAATACCATGTTGCAGAAATGCATGAAGGTTGAAGACAGAGTCCTTTATTGGCGGGTTTGAGCTTAGATCTCTGACAACAATCCTAAGGCTATCCATTTGGTCACCGTAAATATCATGAGAAAATATTACAGGGTCATAGAGAACGAAGATCTTTTTAGTCTCACCTGGTTTACATGCATTCTGCCTTCAGGTAAGGCACCAGAAAATAAAAAAAAGGAAATATAGCAGTAGTTAAACAATGGTTTACTCATTCAGGAGCTACTGTAAGGGGAACCAAGCCATTATAAATCTAAGTTTAGAATGCAGCGCATAACACCATCTCCAAAATGAAAGCTGTTTTTGTAGTCTATGTCCTTCAAGTCCTAAAGTCCTTTGTCAACAGACATATTAAAGGACGAATATTTTTTTGTTTATTTGGCTTACATATACAGTATATCACCAACACATATGCAGCACCTTTCAGAGTATATATTAAACCTTGTATATCAATCCCTGCCCCGTAGTGTCTTACAATCCTATTGACGCCAAGACAGCTACACAAACAGACAAACTAGGACCAGTTTATTTGGAGAATCAAACCTACAACCCTAGTGCTGCAAAGTAAGAGTGCTACTTATTTAGCAGCCATATCTGGCTATTGCAATACTTACCAGCAATAGTCCAAAAGGTGTGGAGGAAGAACTGGGATGTAAATGTGCTGCCAGTACATGGGGTAGAGCAGGGAAGCAGAGGCGTGAACACAGGCTGTTAACTGCAAAAGAGATGACAGGAGCATTACATAGCTATATACACCAACATTAACACAGCAGTGGGCAAAATGTGCAAGATAGAACTTAAAGACTAATGCCAGGTAAACAGTAAAACTACTGCATGTAAATGTAAAGGGGTTCTAAACCCTCCGTTTTTTTGCCTATATCTACTGCTAGCATGGAGTAGATATAGGCAAGAAGTGTAAAAAAAAAACAAAAAAAAACCAAACCGCTTAAAGTCCTTTTAAACTTACCTCGTTATCGCCGCTCGTTCTCGCGCCGAGAATCAGGAACTGCTCGTACGGCCGCAAAGGATCTTGGGGCGGGCACATGCGCAGTTCCGATTCTCGGCCGGGAGACGAGCAGAGACGCAAGGTAAGTCTATGGACGCGTGCACCCGCCTGCAGACACCTCTGGATCGGAGAGACAGAGCAGTCAGCGCTAGATCGGAGTGACGTCACACCGCTGGAGGGACAGATGAAAACATGGGGAAAGAAGAAGATCCGAAAAAGAGACCTCATTTAAGGTAAGTGTTAACATTTACATTGGGGGGAGGGAAAAAATGTTTTGCCTTTAATGTCACTTTAAGCAGTAAATAAAACAATGCTAGTAAGCTGAAGTAAAAACCAAATCCATTTAAAGAAGAGGTCTTGCTAGAAGATGAAAAAGCATGTTAAAACCCCCATGGGACCCAGTGTACTTCACAAAATGTGTGCTGAGAATGGAGTAGTAACCATCCGCTTGTGTTGTGAATGTCAGCAGCTGGAGGAGCATTTATAAAAAATATAAGCCCACAACAACACAAGCCAGCTACCATAGCTACCATACTAGTCACTCTCAAACTAGTAAAGTAGCTGGCTTCTGTTTAGGACTTGCATTTTATAATTGATGGTGTTCCTCTCCAGCCGCTGACATTCAATACAAGCCGACGGTTACTACTCCACTTTCTATCCCCTGAAAAGCTGGTAGAGTGTTGGGGGCCAGTATTTCCTGTTACACCATGAGGAGGTGACAGAGGAGGCAGAGGTCTTTAGAATAAAGAGGGGGAATTACCTAAAGTGCTGCTGGCTGTAACATCTTCATAGGAATGCCCTTAAATTGGGCTTCAGCCTAGGGTGGAGCTACAGCCACAACAGACAAAAACTTGCATTTTATTTGAAAACCACTGCACAAATTTGAATGGAAAAGTGTGATGTGCAATAGGTTTTCTGGAGGGTTTTAAAAAGCATTTGCATCTTCTAGCAAGACTTCTTTTTTTAATTTACCTTTACAAGGGTTTATTATTATTATATAATTATTATTATATAAAACTATTATTTCTACAGTCAGATCAAGTTTTGAAGTCTTTTGCCAATCTTTTGTGCAACCCCCCTTTCTAAGAACTCATCTCTATGTAGACAATACTACAGTTCAACTGCTATATCAGAGGCATGCATAGTTTATTTCTAAAAGACAGGAGATTCTTATGGGCAGAGTTGGAAACCCTTGTCTGCTGATAAACGTTGTGTTTCTAGGATAACAGATTTCTACCTCCCACACAGCAGCATGGTCTGTTGGGCATAAGCAATGGTAGAGTAAAAATCAGAACTCCTAGGCAGGTAGACGGTTACCCTCCCTGAAATGTATGTAGTATGCTCAGGTTTATCTGGAACCTACCCTAACAACACATTTCAAACTATACACATAAAAAACGCATATATACACATACAAAATCTCAGTTAGCTTATTTGTATTGAGATTGTAGTGCATCACAGGAACGAACTTGGAGCGGTGTCTACTTTACAAAACACACAGGGACTATGGGGAACAAAAGTGGCTTCCTTCTGGAGTGCCTCCAGAAGGAAGGACAGTGTCAGCACAAATTCAGAGATGATATGAGGATCTTCAGCCGAGCGTTACACAAATAAGATATATTTTTGTTAAGAACAAGGGTGCTTGAATGCATTTTTAAGATTTAACTCCTAAGCTTAGTGTAACTTCAATTATCACTCTGAATAGAGTTAAAACTCTTAGGGCCCATTCACACCAATCGCACTCTAAACTCCCCCCTTCGTTCTGGGACGGGAAGTGACATGGCGGTGCATTGAAGTCAATGGCACCGCAGCCACGCCCCCCACCCGCAGTGCGATCGGACGCGTGGCAAAATATTGCCTGTGTTCGCTCTATTTTTTGCTTTCGAACTGAGCCGGAACCCAGGCAATGTTTTGCCACGCGTCCGATCGCACTGCGGGCAGGGGGCGTGGCTGCAGTGCCATTGACTTCAATGGACCACAATGCCCCCTCCCACCCCAGCACGACGGGGGGAGTTTAGTGTACAATTGCTGTGTGTTCCAGCAGCTACCGTTCTGGAAGGCGCCGCAATTGGTGTGAATGGGCCCTTACAGTGGGGAATAATGGTAAAGCAGTGAATCTGACATACACCAAATATTTTCTTCGGTATATCTTTAGGTGCATGTGCTTTTAAATGACAGCGACTGATTCACCACTAATGAATTTTGGCAAATTCACATCAACTGCTTTGTTAATAAGCTCCTGGCAAAATGATGCTCTTGTTCTAGTAGTACACTTGAAGCACCCATGTCAGACTCTTGGATATGAAAACATAACAGAAAAAAATAAACCCACATTATTGAAAATGGTGTCAAATCTGTAAGCTTATGAAAAACATAATTAGGTGCGCACTACTCATAATTGTATGTGCCAAACAATTCACAAATGTCCAAATACAAAAGTACATAAGACTATGTGAATATGTAATAACTGTTCTATGCATGTTATGAAACACTGGTACCACAGCAGATAGTGATTGCACTGAAGTGCTGTATGGATCCTGATAGTTACAGAACATGGATAATTGGGTCTGTTATAAGAGGCAGAGCACTGGCTACCCAAGTTCATTTAACCCCACTAAATGTGGCTAGCTGCAAGCTCTGAATGCTCCCTAGAGAGCTCGTTAGGGCTGATTGGCAAACGAGGGAGAACCAGGAGGCGGTAGGGAGCATCTGGAAAGGGTCGTGATAACAGGAGCTAAGCCTATCTTGCAGAAGGCTCTCCCGGGATAAGACTGCTCTCTGTCACACACTGTCACCACTGCCCATACAGCTGTCTTGTGGTGACAGTGCAGCATCAATCACTTGTTAGACAAACTAGCATTAACCCTTATTTTACACCATAGTATACTTGCAAAAAAAATAAATCACAATAAATACAACTAAATATTACATTGCTTTCCTGGAGCTTGAATACAACAAATTCTGCTCCATCTTATTTGCAGAGATCTATCTTGAGAAGGAAATGCAGCAGTGGTGGAGAGGTCCCATACCTCTAGGTGTGCAAATTTACAGAACTATGTGATCTCCCATGAGACTACATAGCCATAGAAATGAAGAGGTGAAAGAATGGGAGCATTCTTCCTGTGGTGCTCTGTACAGACTTGGATGTTTTTAATAGAAACCACAGATCAAAGGTAACTTTACAAAACAAATATTCAGAAGGGGCCCAAATCATTTCAAAGAAACCAAAAAACGCAAGTGTGCAACAGGCATAGTCAACAGGATACTACCATCCCACATGTAAATGTAATCACAAGATGTGGCAGCTTCTGATAAGTGTCTGTTATAAAAATGCCAGTGTTAAAACCCTTGGCTATCAAAAGCAATAAAAACCTGGCAACTATGTTTCACACAAATTAAGAAAGTTGTGGAGTTTTAACCATGTTTAGGAAAGTAGTCTCAATTCACTAACAATTTTGAAAATATGTAATAACTGTGAACCAAAGCTGAAAATATTTAACAGAGTTAAAAGCAATAGATAAAATAAGTACAAGATTATGTCAATTTCCATGAGACCGTAATATCACAACTAAGCGGACAGTGTGAGATCTCTGATGTGGCGATTTAGATTTTAATCTGCAAACTCCAACAAATTCTGTATATATTTGTTTATAGGCTTCTTGTGAACACATTTCAATTTTTGCCTTGTTGGCTAATATGTTGTTACCAACCACTCAAGCATCTTATTATTATTATTTTTTTTTAAATAATAAGTGTTTATTAAGGGTTTTGAGACAAGTAACATGAAAGACATGCAAACATGGAGATCAGTGCAGTACCGGAGCATGTAATTACATTCCATTGTGAGACATAAGCATATAAGCATGCATATGGATGCATTCAGCCCAAATACCATTCACATACAGCGGGAAGTACACAGATCAAATCATGCCATGAAGGGTAGGCGTCTTGTTTCTATAACAGCTGTGTGCGTCTCAGTCAGGAGACTTTAAGACTAGGTGATATGACCGCATTTTCTCTCATCTATACAGACAACACTGAAGAGGGAGGGCAAGGAAGAAAGCACATATAGAACACAGGACCCACGGGATAAAACATTTTGGAAGGGGGGTGCTTGCTAGGTGGAGTGACAAGTCAAGTAGGAGAACATATAGGGGAAGACACTTAGTGGGGAGGAGGGGGAGCTTCTGCCGGACCCAATGGTACATTCGTCACTGTGGGTGGCATACTTAGATATATCAGAAGCGATGCACTAGTCAAGTGTCCATCAGGGGGCCACTGGCCAAATTACAGGGCCCTAAATGCCGCTGAGTCCATGTATAAAATCCAAGGGATCCACAAGATTGCACATTGAGGTTGTCGCTCATGTAATGAGGCCGTCAGCTCTTCAAAGCGCATGATCAGACACACTTCAGCAATCCACTCTTGCAGGTCCTGGTGACCACAGTGTTCCAATGGCGAGGTATCACGTTCCGGGCCGCAGCCAAGAAGAAGCGGAGTAGATGCCTCTTAACTGAGGCTAGGGAGCCAGGTAGAATAGAGAGGAGAGCTATCTTAGGCGAGGCTGCTAGATCCGTTCCCATGACCTTGTTATAAACGTCAAAGCCCCTGTTCCAGAATGGCAGCAGTGGCGGGCAGTCCCAAAAAATATGCAGGAGGGTCCCCTCTGCAGCCAGGCATCGCCAGCATAGTGAGGGCCTATCAGGAAA